CAAGAGGAATTTTGATACAAGCTCCGCTGTGGTGCTCTTGTTTTTATCCTTGAATACAAGAATCCTGTGAGATTAAATTATATAGTTTTATAGAAATGCGGTATTATATTAAATTAACGGATATTTTGCTTATGTGAAAAATGGGTTATTTTTATTTTACTGTGTCTACCCAAGCCCTCCAATGTTTAGAAGACCTAAGGGGACTAAACATTTAATTAGCCAAGTTACCCTTTAAATTTAATTTGGCTCTCTATTATTCATAATGCCTTCCCAGCATTACTGTTTGCTCATTCACGTTACAGACCCTGAACCCGACGGAGATTTAACTCAATACATCGAACACTTACTGAGAGGTTTCTAAAGGTCAAGCCTCATACTAGACCCTGGGGACATAAAAAAACAAAACAAAACAAAACATGTTTTTGTAATAAATGTATATCAGCATTTATATGCATAATCACAGAAAAAGTAAACTAGGTTAATAATAACTGACAAGTTTACTAGTGATTATGTCTGGATGGCAAGGTAATGAATAATTTCTATTTCCTCTTTTCTATTTTTCTGAATTGCCCAAACCTTTCTAATATGAGGGTATGTTACTCTTACAACTACTCAAAAACAAAAACAAATGGTAAAGGTCCTTCTGTGGGGCAAGAAGAAAGGAAAATAAAGATAGCTTCACTGTATATGCGTTGCACTTCGCAAATTAATTTTTACCTTAATAAAACAAAAATTAAGTTTTCTTCTAAACAAAAGCTCTGATTATTATTATCAAAAACATTTTGAGCCTCTGAGATCCTATCTGACAGTAAATGAACTGTGACCTGACCAACCAAATTAAGCGATCAAAATCTATTTGTCTCAGGTAAGTAGTCATTAGGCCATAAAAAAGTCCTTGAGTTTAAAAATACTATTTATAATGTTAGATAATTTAGAGGCTCCAAAGCTCATTGGGGAATAATAAATGCTACTTGTGAACCAGAAATAAAAAGGTTTTATTCAAAGAAGTAGAGAAAATGAATCACTGGGACTTATGTATTTAATTTCATTTGTTAGTTTTGTTTTGTTTCAGTAGATACAAGTGAAAAATGAGTTTCTGCCATGTGCCTTGGATACTTAAGTTTATGTTAGAAGTCTGGGTAAATATAATAATACTCAAAGAAATAAACTGAAAACCACAAAACAAATATTTATAACCAAGTGCTCGACCGCAGTACTACCAATGAAATTCCTTTCTAATGAGCCTGGATTAGTAGTTGAAAACTCAAGTTGAAAAGTGTGAATCACTCACTGGTAAATCACCTTTAAGGTTACATTTATCAGGAAGTTTTGTATATGCTACTCATATATATAAATGCCACTCATAAATTTCAATCAATCACGATCGCCCATTTCAAAAGTGACTAAGAATCTCAGTTAATCAGCTCCAGATTGCTCCAAAAATAATTTTCTCCACTCTTAAATTGATAGTAAAGAGGCAACACCAGTTTGGGGGGAGAAGCAAGAGGCTAGAATGGCGTATCTACGCAAGTTAAGGAAACTATATGCTGTCTCTTTTAACCTCCAACCTAGGGCCCTTTACTTTCCCTTTACTTACACTTTCCATCTGTCAACAAGTGCTTGTAATTTTATTACACTGTCCTGTAGTTTATGCAGAGTTGGTATTATTTTACAGAGTTCTGTTAATGGACTGGATAAATGGTAATGCTATTTAAACTAGTCTCCTGCTCCAACAAACACAGCTGCAACTGTACTACTATTTCTGAGCAAACATCTTGACCTGAACATGTAGTGCTCTCTCAACCCATCCAAAGAGAAATTGGAGCAGACAGCAAAGGAAAAGCATATTTGGCCGCTAGCAGCAACCAACCGTGTCGAATCATAATTCATATACAGCGTACCCTCTTTTTCTTTTATATTGCATTTAGAGTCCAAAAAAAGCATGTGTGCTTCTTCACCTGGCATCTCATTTTCCGCCAAGAGTCAAATGGTGATTTTTCATTACAAAAGTGCAAAGAAAATCTGCATAATGTCCAGTACATCAGACTAGCTTAAATCCTAATGATAAAAATCAGACGTGAGTAGAGTGAACTACACATTAAACTAGTGAACTTCTTCATTAGTTATATACTGGGATAAAAAAGCATTAAATAAAAGTATTAAATAACAAATACAGTAAGTGAGAAAAAGAAATGGAGATACTAATTAGAATGATGCAACAACTTAAAGAGAGAATAAATTATAAATGTGTTTCCTTCATGAATTCTAGATGTGTAGGTCTCTACCACATTATATAGTAGGGCAATTATGGATTGCTTAATATGTATATGCAAAGACCAGGCTAATACCTTCCCTGTCCCAACATATACTCTCTGCTATTAGTCAGAAACCCTGTATCCTTTGTTCTGTCACTGATCCTTCTTGTGAAAGATTCATTTTTCAATGAATGTTTTAAAGGAGATTTTTGTCTGTCGATCTGGGCACATTTTTCCATCTGTTGGAACATTTGTTTCGGGTGAACTACTAGGCACCTGTATCACATGAAGAAACTCTGAGCTTGAATCCTTCCCTCTTGGAAATTACACTGGCCAGGCAGTCAGACTCACAAGCTTTTGGTTCTTTATTTATTAAAGATATTTAATGCTGGTTGTTTACTCCAATTAATGATTACCATCATAAAAAAAAAAAAAGTGGTCACATGTAGCTTATAACTTACCCTCTCAAGAGAAATACCATTGGTAACAATCCACTATATCGAATTCGGGTGGGACAAATAGTACCTTCATTCAAAGGAAGATTCCCGGTGTGAGGGTGAAGAAAAAAATTACACCACTGTTTCTATGTGTATTTAGTGTTTATGTCAGTCGGTAAATCCCAACGAATATTAAGCATTATGTCATCAATCTCTAATTTCAGGAACATCAAAGCATTCAAGCCCCTCTTGCAACTAATCCTAAGAAATAAAGTTTTATCTTCCCAAACTTCCCAGAAGAAATCATTTGAGCCGAACAGGTACATCACAACTCTGAGCTGTATTTTCTAGCTGTCCATTTTCTCATATTTTTACATGCTTTTAATTAACTAAAAAATACTGCCTCAGAGTTTTATGGGTTCTGTTTCTTTAATTTTACTTCTTCAGGATTTCAGGTCTCTTTTCACACAGCAGCTTCCTAAAGTCATAAAGTCATAACAAAATATAAGAGAAAAATCCATTGGTCCACTATGTGATATTGTCTAAGAGGGAAAACTGTTCCACGGAATAGAATTTACTAATAGAAGACTCTGCGCTGGATTAAACTACCTGAAGCCTCCTAAGAAAAGTAAACCAAGTACTTCTAGACTAAAATTCAAACATTCTTATTTCTCTGAGGTAGTGTTGAAGTTAATTTTCCCCTTTCGCTTAATATTTTAAATCGTAGATGACAGTCATTCATTTAAATTATATTTTTACAGCTACATAGAAAATGGAAAATTTCCTAGACTGGTGTGAATTGCTTTTGCATGGGCACTATTAGCAAAGTGGTGGTTTCATAGCCCTCATCGTATACCAGAAGTCCACTCTCCAGTCTCCTCCATCACCAAAGCTTAACGCAGAAAGCAGAATCACAACTAAAACCCTCTCTGTGGCCCTTCTTAGAAACTAAGCACAAATATTTCTACATCAGTATCAACTTAGCATCTTTACAATGTTCAATATTCTATCTCCTTGGTCAAACTAGTCCATAAAGAACTCTTATTTAAAAGTCTATTTTCAAGTTTCTTTGAAAACTTTTTTTCCTTTTTTTAATTTACTTAAATGGAGCTAATTAGCTGGCAGGGAACCCAAGGAAAAGGAGAAATCCTGCCAGGCGACTTTGGCTGTCCTCAGAGGACCAGTACCAGGGAAGTGAGACTCCAGAGGGGAGATGCAGTGTGTTCGTTTGGCTGCACATCTGCCCACTGAGCCAGCTCTCTCTGTAGTGAGCTAAGGCACCAGGAGGACTGAACAGAGACCGTGGCCACAGTGCAGGGAGGGCTCGAGGGCAGTGTTGCTAGACTTCCTACTTGTAGAATTGATGACAACGCTACTGAACTCATAGGCTACGACAAAGCCAAGTTCGGAAAAAAAGGAATCCGCTCACTCCCCCCCACAAACAGGAACCTACGGGACGTCCCCTACCATCCAGGTGGAAGGCGTGCCGAGGAATTTCTTCTATATATCCCCAATTTCTTTCATGACATCCGTGAACATCAATAATCATCGTTATTTGTTTTTCCAACAATTTGTTGCTTATCTCCCATCTGCACAAAATCACTCATATGGCTGAAAATCTAATTTTAAAAGCTTTCAAAAATGTGTTTTCACTATTACTTATTAGGTCAGTGTACAAGCATTCCAAGGAGGAAAACCTGATTCTGCCTAAAACCCACATTACGTTCTTTCCAAAGGAGCACTTCCGTTAACAGTCTGTGACGTATTTGTGAGGAAAAGTTTACGGTCATTCCTATTGCAGAGTTTGGAACTCTGGCCTCAAAAGGAACATTTAAGAGGAAATTTACAGCCCTCTTTAAATACCTTATGATAATATTTCCAGACTAATAAACACGACTCCAGCACAGAAACAATGTCGAGAAAGCTGACATTAAGAACCCTAACTTTATAACAAAACACTGCCAACTTCCTCTTCAGAGGAAGTATAGTGGCAAATTTTCCCTTCAGAACTTAATCAAAAGTTTCCATAAAAAAGTAACGTAAATCTCCTCCTCATCACATAGCCAAAAAGGAAAAATACAATTACAGTGACACATACATGAACCACTAAATGCTAACCAAATAGAACAACAGGAACCACTGGGAAACCAATCATAAACTTCCATAAGAAGAAAAAACAAGCAAGCTTTTAATCCATTAATCTATCAGTGAATAGATTCCAGGAAAGCACAAGGAAACAGATCCAAAATACATTTATTAAAATACAAGGTACTACCCAAAGCAACAATAACTATTTCTGTCTACTTACAGCCTGTAGAGCTTCGAAGTCCCAAGAAACAGCAACTCAGGAAACAGCTGAAGGTGATTTCTGTTCAAACGCCTTTTGAGAAAAACAAAAACAAAGCGTATGTTACATAGAAAATACCCAACAATGAGTCTGTGATTTGGTAGTGTCGTGCCTCATCCTGTATTTCAGGAAAGGAAGAAATGACATTCAAAAGAATTCAAGCATTGCAAATCAAAAGTTGGTTACACCTTTTGTTACCTGACTCTTTAAAGCAATTTTCCATTATGCTTACTCAGATGATTACCGGCACCTAAACCCTAACCTCACATCCTGTGCAACATCAGTCATCCAGAATATACACAACGAGAAAGGATTTCTTGCCTAGGACTCTGCTGTCTAGGTTAGGTGAGTGCGAGATACAATGCAAACACCACAGTAAACGGTGCCCTAAGATAATTCATGCACTGTCCCAGATGACCTAAATTTTTAGCCAAGGCATTGTGGGGAAATGGAAATTTCAATTTTGTTAGCATTTTGTTTAGCTGTGGGGAAAAAAAAAAAGTGTGAGGAAATGTCAGCATGATTTGTCCCTATGGGCGAAAGCAGAAGAAAACGGCCAAGTCCAAACCTAAATCCACAGTTCTTGACCCTTAACTGAAAATAAGCTGAAACAGAACTAATAGTAGTGGCTAAAAATGTTTAGATCGTGCTTTTTTACATGTTTACCTGATATGAATGTAACTTTAGAGTTTAGAAAAAAATTTGACTCTAACTCAATTAAGCCCTGATGCTGTGTAACTAAGTTCTTCTGGACTGTGCACACTTCCTGAAGGCTAGGTAGATCCTGATGCTGATGTACTAGGATCTCAATCCCATTCATCTCACGTGGACACGTTAATGTTTCAATAACAATAAATGTTCACATCTCTGCTTTTCCCAAATTTATTTAAAAAAAATTTTTTTTTAATGTTTATTTATTTTTGAGAGAAGGAGAGACAGAGCATGAGCAGAGGAGGCGGCAGAGAGAGAGGGAGACACAGAATCCGAAGCAGGCTCCAAGCTCTGAGCTGTCAGCACAGGGCCTAATGCGGGGCTCGAACTCACAAACCGTGAGGTCATGACCTGAGCCGAAGTCGGACACTCAACTGACTGAGCCACCCAGGCGCTCCTGCTTTTCCCAAATTTAAATTACATGATAAGCTGATGCAAAATGTACATTTAAATGATTTACAAGTTGCAAAAAAAAAAAGATTTATAAATTTCTATTGGCCTACAGGAGAGTAAGGAGGTCCAGAAAACTAACAACACTTTGAAGAAACTTGAGTATTAAATATAAATGTCAAAAGGACAGGAAAAGAAAGCATGCCAATCTTGACTTATTTATTTTTTTATTTATTTACCTATTTATCTACCTATCAATCTTGACATATTTAAATGGCCATCTGGTAGCAGCAAAATTATATTTAATCTCCAGAGGGCAGAACTGGCACTAGTGAATACATTTCTTTTTTTTTTTTTTTTTTAAATTTTTTTTTTTCAACGTTTATTTATTTTTGGGACAAAGACAGAGCATGAACGGGGGAGGGGCAGAGAGAGAGGGAGACACAGAATCGGAAACAGGCTCCAGGCTCTGAGCCATCAGCCCAGAGCCCGACGCGGGGCTCGAACTAACGGACCGCGAGATCGTGACCTGGCTGAAGTCGGACGCTTAACCGACTGCGCCACCCAGGCGCCCCAGTGAATACATTTCTTAAGAGAGTATATTATAAGGAAGACCTTTCTAAGAATTAGTGAATTTCCAAGAATTAGAAGAAATGGAATGATCTGCCTTGAGAAACTCAACTTCTGATTCCACTTTCATCCAAGCAGAGGCAGTGTGTATTTTTTTCTTTTTCCTGCAAAGGACGTAATCAAAAGAACTCCCGCATTAGGTGAAAAATTGTACCAGCTGAACTTCAGAACTTCTTCAAACTCCAAAATGCCATGAGGTAATGATGAAGACTGTAACTTTTGTTACATAAACTCACATTAGGAAGAAGTTGATTATCTACAGAAACATTCTAGGCACTTAATAAAACGCACACTTGTAAAAAACTATGCCAAGACGATTGGGGGAAAATGGTAAAATTAGTGGTGAAAGGGTGGAATTTCTTTCCACTTACGCTAATTTTTATAAATAAAGCATATAACAAGGTTAAATTTAAAGTGAAACCAAAAGCTTTTACTTATTTATTTTTGTCTGCTGGGAATGGAGAAAGGAAGGAGTATTTCTGAGGGAGGATGACTTCCAGAGTCTACTATTATACAATTCTCATAAAATAAAACTTAACTATGACCTTGTTATATTTTTCTCTCAAGAAACAGACAACAAATATTCACAATAGTGGCAATTAGAATTTTTCCAGGGAAGCGACCGCTCTTGGAAAGATTCCCATTATTCAAGGAGACAATCTCCATTTCTAAAATGGCAGAGATGGGCTATGGCAATCTCATCCAAACCACTGGACTAATAAACATCCTCCAGGATTCACCGGCCATAACCAGTATGCTCCTTCAAGCCTCCGGTCCCTGCAAAGCCCCAGCTGTTTGGAGAGCTTTCCCTATTCTGAGGGTACTTTCTTACAACTTCTGTGAAGCTTCCCTGATCCCCCTACAGAGAGGTAGTTCCTCCCTTGTCTGTGTCCCAATACCCTCATGGCATTTAATAAATAAGAGTCCTTGACGTTGTATTTCATCACATACTGGTCTGTTTCCCAGTAGGCTGTAAGCTCTTCGAGTACAAAGACCACATCTTTGTATTCTTTCCCTTCCTCTCTGGCACTCAGTGGATTTTTAGGAAATGCTAAATGAGAACACACTTGTCTTTTTGCATTTTGATATACTTCAGCAACGCTCTAGCATATGCATTTTATATTCAGCCAACTATTCCCCTGGGATGCTTCCTGAGGATCCTGTCTTAGTTTTTATGTCACTTTCCAACTAACCAAAGCCCCACCACCAACCTTGCTTTCATGTGCCCTATAAAGCAATTATGTCCTTCCCCTCCCATCAACCTCTCTCCCACTGCCATACTCAACATCATCTAGAAGTTAGAAGGAATTTGATATGTTTAAATAATGTCAGATATTGTGAGAAAGAAGATATTTCAGATTGGGTGTAGGCAGTGTCTTTTTTTTTTTTTAATGTTTATTTATTTTGAGACATAGAGAGCCAGAGCCAGAGAGAGAGAGAGAGAGAGAGAGAGAGAGAGAGAAGGGCAGAGAAAGAGAGAGAGAATCCCAAGCAGGATCGGAAATGTCAGCATTGATTCCACAATGCAGGGTGTGATCTCATCAATTTTGAGACAACGACCTGAGCTGAAATCACATCAGACACTTAACTAACTGAGCGATCCAGGCACTCAAAGTAGTGTCTTTTTCTTTTTCTTAATTATTACTTTCATATTCCCAGCCATTCCTAATTCACTCCAAAAGCGATAGCTAACATAAGCATAACTAAGCTTACTACATGATGATCACTGTTCTGAGAGGTTTACATGAATTATCTCCTTCGTTTTTCAGAACAACCCCAACAGTAGATACTATGGTTACTGTTGTTCTGGAGAAGGGTACACAGCTCATAGAAAGTGGAGCTAAAACCTGAATTCAGGTAGGGTGATTCCAGAACATATCATCTGAAACATTTCTCTCAAAGAGACACAGTCTAAATATTTCTAAACAATAATTAAAAATAATGTAATACTGAAATTTCACTTCTCATCAATCTTTCCTTGGGAAAAACATAGCTTTATAGAGCCCATTTCTTTAATATCTATGAATGAAACAACTGAAAATAAGACATCATTAAAACAAAACAAAAAAAATTCTATACTCAGCTCACTGAATTAAAGGTCTGTTCAAAATGCCTAAGGTTGAGAGAAAAATGAAAATATGTATAGTTTTCTCTGAATCCAGGTAGTTTATCATCTTTTCATGAAAATTACTGTGAATGGTCTTAATATTGTCTAAATCAACCATATGCATAAGACAAGGTAATATAGTAGAAAGGCAGATAATAAATGATGTGATAACATGCATAGAAAAACAGTATTATGCTTTTTCCCTCTAAAAGAATATCATGGGGCACCTGGGTGGCTCAGTCAGTTAAGCATCCAACTCTTGCTTTCGGCTCAAGTCACGATCTCGCAGTTTGTCAGTTCGACCCCCACGTCAGGCTCTGTGCTGACATTACAGATTCTGCTTGGGATTCTCTCTCTCTCCCTCTCTCTCTGCCCCACCCCCATTTGTGCTGTCTCTGTCTCTGTCAAAATAAACAAATAAACTTAAAAAAAAAAAAACATAAAAGACTACCAGTACACTTTTTGTTCCTGTTCTTTCTTGAATCAGTGCTAAGAATGAATGGAAATACAAACATTAAAATAAAAGGTGAAACTCTTTCAAAATACTCAATTAAAGGAAAAACTTGAAAGTGGGGATTTCCTGTAAAATGACCAGAAATTAACCCTTTAAAAGGATTTTTTTAAATCCAGAATTACTTTAAAGACCATTAAGGTGCACAACAATTTCTAAACAGGGCTGGAGTAGAACACAGAATACTTCTCAGCAGCTTGAAAAGGATACTGCCATAATGCTAATGCTAATGTAAATGAGTTAAAGAAGCTAAAATCTGATGGTCCCAGAGCAGGAAAACAACATGTAGTGAATGAAATGTATCTCACAGAAGGATTTATGGGAGCCAGCATAAATTGGCTCCATTAAGCAGACCAGGTGGTCAATTACCTATTGTTCAGAACAAGGACAATTGTGTTGAAGGTTCATTATACCCAGCTCCTGTGCTACCAGCTAGATGGAATTTGCCCACAGGATCTCTGGGCTAATTGAGATTCTCGGGATGGTAATGCATGATTCCAGAAAGGTGTGCAAAATGCGTCTCAAAGACACTTTTCCTTAGGGCAAAGATGAGAGGGATCCCAGTAACTGCTTCCTCTGTGTTACTGCTAGTTTTGAGCGTGACCTTCAGTGGAGTGAATGATCTTTCTGTATCACACAAAACACCACTGGTCTCTGAAATGCTTATTCTTAACAACCTCAATT